TTTAGCGAAGTCAAACAAAGATAGAGTGTCGCTATTTGTGGGCGGACGGGCGTGAGTGGGTAATCCGCAGTCAGTTGACGGCTGACACCGCTCTGGCACCCACAAGCAACACTTTAAAGTCAATAACTGGAAGGGAGAGCGCATGAAGAGCAAATCATTTGCATGGGTTCCACTTCGCAAAGAGGGTCGCAGCTAAGAGGGATCAGGACACACACACATACAAGAATTGCCTAGGGCAACCAAAACCAAGTGATAAAACGCTGTCGCTCTAAAGAAAACCAATAACAGACACATTCGACGAGTCCAAGTTCAAGATGTAACCACGACCAATCGACAAAGGGGAGTCGATGCGAAAAAAAAAGTATTTTTAGCTTGTGGCAAACATAAATTGTCTATTTATATATTCAACTTAACTTTTCATCAAAGAGAACAACAAAATGCAGTTTGCATTTGTTACAAAAGCTCAGATTTGAAAACTTTATATGGCATCCCCACCCACGACAGCTAGATGCGTCACACCAATTGATACATACGTAGTATCTACATATGTAGTATCTATATATATATATGAATAAATATTTATTTACATTTATCATTTATAGATTACTATGCGGGCGCCAACATTTCCGGTATGCAATAGATAAATAAATTACCTCAGCTAATTACGCTGAGATTTGTTATGGAAAATTCCATAAATCAAATTCGAATTAATTTCGCCAAAATATATTTAGGTTTGAGGGCAAAATCTTAATATAAGTTATTAAATAAAAATTATGAGAAATTAATAATTTTTTAAATTTAAAAAATGTTTGAAATGTAGTATTTTGCATGATTTTAATCATAAATATTTTTTTTTTAATTTAATCATTAATATTTTAAAATCAATTACAACGAAGCTACATTTGGTTTTAAATAAAATAATAAAATACAAATATTATTATTATTATTTTTTTTTTTAATAAAAATATTTTGAATATAATTAATTATAAAATGAAAAAAAATTAAACTGAAAACTTTTTAGTTCTTAGAAAAAAAGTCAAACAAATTTGTTTATAAATTTACAAATTTGGTTTTTATTATAATACCAAAAAAAAGTGTTCAATGGAATGGGGATTTCGTTTTCGGAAACACTGTAGTTCGCCCGCCTTATCTATCGCCTAGGCCAATGCAAATATTTGTAGTCTATTGAGCGGCTGTCCGCAGTTGAAATGCAGAGACGCCCACGTCAAACTGTGGGATTAGTGTTGATTTTGTTCATATGAGGGCTTTATTGCTTTAATTAAAATCGCTGAATTGACACTTATGCGACAGGTATTTTGATTTGACTGTTACGGAGATTTCAATGTGGATGACAGCCGTCCTCTCCCTGTACAATTATGAAAATATTTTCCTCTTTTTTTATACAGCTATAATTTTTCAAACGTTTGGTTTGCCCTTTCTTCGATGCAGTTAAAAAAAATTTTTTGTTCGACAATTTTGGACGTTTTGTTTTCTTATGTAAAAGCCCGCCAAATTGGTGTGACGGGAGTGGATCGAAAGAAAAATATGGAAACGATCATATATAAAAAAAAAAAGAGAGAGCACTGACACTTATTCCACGTCTTCCTCATCATCTGGCGGCGGAACATATTCCGGAACGGCATTCTCTTCTCCAGCATCGTCCTCCGGCTCCTCCGGTACCGGATCGCCCATAATGATCTGCTCAGCCAGTTGGTATAGTTCAAGTATGTTCTATAAAACGTATATAGAGTATTTAAAAAATGTTGAGAAAGTTTGCAGGGAATGTATATAGTGTATAGAGATTGAATAGGGGGTTCGACGAGAGTATATAGTGTTGTGTAGATATAGGGAGTATGTATGAAAGGATGTAGATAGTTTATGCAAAAGATGTGAAGAGTATGTAAAGGGAATGTAAGCCAAATGATAAGAAAATTCTTTATATATACTTCATAGAAACTATAGACAGTATATACAGTATGCGTTACATATATCTTCTACATATATGGCTCACCTTGGCGTTCCGTAGTGCCACAATTTTCTCATCCTCATAGCGCAATTGATCGTACTGCTGCTTGGATATGAGCAATCCCCGATTGAACTCATCCTCCATCTCTTGCTGGAGTACCTCGGCGTATTGTTGCTTAGCAACCGTCAAGCTAATCAAGCTCTCACTCTTGATGGATTCCTCGGTAACATCGGAGGCATCGTCCAGGTATTTGCTCTGAATAGCGCCCGGATATTCGCCAAAGCTGCCCGACGCATCATTCGGCATCTCGATGCTGCCCACGCCCATCTCTTCCATGAAGAAGCCATCCCCATCGCTGCTGGGTGCCACCGTTGTGGCCTGCTCCTTCTTATCCGCATCCAGCTGATGGCGTATGCGCAGCTCCGTCTCACGGAACTTTTGGCTGCACATACCAAATTATGAATATGAATAAGATTATAATCACAGCACTTTTCTGCACTTACCGGGCGCGAACGATGTTGAGAATATCCTTTGGATCTGATGTGAACTGCATGGGCACACGCAGCGAACGTTCCTTCATTTTGGCTCGTTCCGTTTCAAGGAACTCCTTCAGATTCTGTTCGCAATCACGCCAGTCCTCGTTATCAATGCTGGCGGAGTGGGAAATAAGAATTGGAAAATTAATTAGAATAAACCATTTGTAATCAAATTGAGTTAAGTTGAGTTTTCTATGGAATTTCCCTTAAGTAATTTTTTCCGTCTTTTGAATAATGGCAAATTAATTATTCTTCTTTCAAACTGTTTTCATCAGCATATACCCTAACCGATTAGAGTCTAGCTTATTATATGAGAGATGCATTTCTTCTTCGTGTAGACTAGAAACCTTAAGCCTTGGAAATCATAGAACCTTTAGTTAGATAGTTTCGTGTTCTTACCCAACAGATTTCATTTATGAGCTCCAAATATTACAATATCAAAGAAAAAAATTTTTTTTTTTATTTTGTAGAATTATTTTAAATAATTAATTGTAAAGAAATTTAATGCAAATGTTGCTAAGTAATAATTTGTATACTCTATAAAACCCTCTGGATTAAATATAAAGATGTATTACATAATAAAAAAGTGTAGCGTATTCACATATCCTTGAGGATAAATTGAAGCTAGACCCTCTAAGTCCGAAACCAATCGATCTAAAATGATATAAATAGCTCTCACATCCTTATAGATACAAAACTATCAGCAAATGTATTTTAGGTCATCTATTCAACTGCTTTATTGGCAGAGAACCTTAGCTCAGATATTTAAACTTTTTCAAAGTCGCTCCTTCTCTACTTAAAACTCGTGCACTTTTACTTTTGTTATTTTTTTCTTTCGCCAACAACAAAGGCATTTGGCTTTAAGGCTTTAGAGGGCGTGGCTACAGCCCGGGCAGCTAGCCTAATCTTAAAATATTTCTTTAATATTGTTGTATTACGCATTTACTTAGACTGTTTGCTGCGTTGGTTATGAATAACTTTTAATTAGTTGGAACAAAACTCATTTAGCATTATTTCTTTCACTTACCGCAGCAGGTCCATGCCTCGCTCCGCATCCTCCACTCGGTACTGCTCGACGAGTAGCTTCTGTTGGCGCTGTCGCTCGTGCTTCTTGGCCAGCTGCTCGGCCTCCTGGGCCGCATGCTGCAGCCTCTCTCGCTCCCACTTGACGCCCTGCACCTTCAAACGTTCCGCATTCTTCTCTCGACTCGTTTTCAGCTGAGGAATTGTTTGAAATCAAGTTCAGGATTTGCGGTTAGCGTTAGTCTCGAATCGTTTGATACCTTAGCGCGCTCTCTTTGTATCTCCATGTTGGCATCTTTGTTGACCATAAAGATGGGATCGTTGGCCAGCTCCTCGGGTATTATATCCGATTTGCCTTCGATAATCAGCATGCGCTCACGTTCCACTTCTCTTAGCTATAGATGGGATATGAAGACAAATACAAGTTTTTTAGGATATATCATTTCCTTTCATTGTATATATTGTATCTATTTATTTAGCAATATCAAACTTCTTCGCAATAGACCTGTCATTGAGAATGCTCATATGCCTTCACCTCCAAAACTGACACCTGCAAGTGCGCAATGCAGACAAGTAAATATAATACTCGACGAGCTACCCCGATTACGTCTCCAAATATCTGCAACTCTCCTCGTAAATCAGAGGCAAAGAATACTTAAGTGGGCATTTCCGACTTTTGAAGCACTTTTTCAGCCGCTACGGGCTTTACAGCTGTTGTAATACCCTCGGAATGGGTAAAAGGGGTATATGCCACAATTTTGTGTGTTACATAATATACAGGCATAAGGAAAAAATACTAAGGTAATTTAAAAAATGTAAAAAAAAAAATATTTAAATTACAAAAAAAAAAAAAAAAATTAAATGAAAATAAAATAAAATTATAATTATTTTCTACTATCTGAATATTTTCGTATGCTTCATTCAAAAATTTTTGTTTATAGTAGAAAAAAATCCTCTCTTCCCTAAATATAATTTTAAAACATAAAATATCAACAGAATAAATTATCGATATATTTTTGAATTTCAAACTAATCTTAACTTTTTTTTCATAAAAAAAAAAATATGAGGCTTAGGATAAACTCTAGTAGTGCAATCCCCACTCTAGAGCTCCCATGCTTCGTCTATCGTTGCTTTTGTCGCTCGCATGTCTCGCATGTATAAAGCCAAGTTGTTGGTGCCTATCGCGATAGTCTAATTTTTTATGATTTTGACGGCTTGAATTTGCCATTTTCATGTCGAGGGCTCATTGAATTCAATTCAACGAGAGAGACCCGAGTAGCAGCAGCTGAACCAGGCGCGACATTTGTTATTGAAAACTTTTCTTTTTGTTGTCTCCTCGGCGCACGCAAACTCCTTGCCGAAAAATCCCTTTTTCTTGTCTCTTTTCTGTTTTGTTTTGAAAGTAATCGCAGCTCATAAAAAACCGGACTACGTGACAAATTTTCGAGGGTCTACAAATTTTTAAGAGTCCCCCAAAAATTCAATTAGACCTCGTGCAAATTGGACACATTTGTGTGGTCAAGTTTAAATACTCTGTAGACCTTGAAAATTGCGTAAGAGGAGAAGTGTTGTACTGCAGGGGATGCTTATAGCAGAACTATCTGTAATGCTATATATATATTTATGATATATATGCGATATTTTTCGATATTTTATCAGGTCTAAACATTTCTTAAATCGATAAATATCGATGTAGCAGATGTAAGTGAAATAAACGAATTCGATATCGATCGGATTCTCCTTATAAACCAAAAAGTAGGGATAGATTCTATATGCCTTTTTATAAAACGTATACTGAGATTCAGTCGCTTCCTAATCTTCTCACTTTCACTATTCCACTTTCTTCATAACGATATATACCGATAGTTTTCAACACTTATTCAACATACAAGCGCTTATGGTAGTTTATAACCCTGCATAGGGTATCTGTCAGTCGGTCAACTCACCTCACGCGCTCGAATCCGGGCGAGTAGCTGCTTGCGGTAATCCTCGTCGATGCGTTCTCGCAGCTGTTTCATGTAGGCGCGGTCAGTCAGCTTGACCACATTGGTGCCCATGAGGCGCTCCAGCCGGGCGCTGATGCGCGGTAAATTGAAGCTGCGAAAAAGAAGAGAGAGAGAGAAGAGGAAGAGAGAACACTCTTGGTTAATCAAACTGACAAATGTGACACAATCATTGCCCAAGTCAAGACCCGGAGTTAATTACCGAGCAAAAGGTTTACAGCCTTTTTGTGGGATTTTATTGCTTGTTTTATTTAAATTTTTTCTGGTGTTTTTCTTGTATTTTTCACCTGTGTCACGAATGCGCCGCGTTTTCGCGCTTGTAACTCTTGGTAACGAATGAGGTCGGCCACATATTTGGTTTCTATAGAGCTTCTAGCTCTCTGGTATTTGTCGGCTTTTGGTATGGTTTTTTCACTTTGCTTTTTATTTTGGTTGCCAAACACCCAAAAATAAAAAAACTGCCACCAAGAAGTCAACGCCACCTCATTGTCCCTCTCTCTCAAGTTCATGTCTATAAATGTGCAAATTTGTCTATGCATGAAACTGTAGACAACTTTCGTTATACTCTACTCGCCTCGAATCGCCTATGTATATCCTTTGGATGTAATGATACTTCAATCTGTTTTCCCTCTCTCCATTTTCTTTCACTCTCTACCTATTTATCTATATCTTCTCTCTGTCTGTCCTTTATACAAATCTTTAACTGTTTTTTTCTTTATCCTCTAAACTATTTGTAGTTGTCTCTCTCTGTCTCTGTCTATGAATCTGTCTCTCTCGCTCTCTCTCTCTCTCGCTCTCTCTCTCTCGCTCTCTCTCTTTCTCTCTTTCTCTCTCTCTCTCTCTCTCTCTGTTTCTTTAACTACGTTTCCTGCTTATTTTTTCATCTCTCACAATCAATTTTCTGCCTATCCATTCATTTCTTTCTCTCCCACTCTTTTCTCTCTCACTCACTATAAATTTATTTTTTTCAAGTGTATTTAAAATTCGATCATTTTTCTATGTGAAATATATATTTTATATATTTCCACATTTGCTGAACAATAGAATTTCCCTCCATTCCTCCCAATTGAGCGTAATTTCAACCCAGTTGAGGAGGCATTGAATGCAAAGAGGGTGGTCTATATTTATGGATAGCTATACTATGAATTGTTGTTAGTACGATAAACGTATATTCAGTTGGGATTTTTAGCAGACAGTCGAATCGTTAGACGTTTTTCTTTTTGACAGAACTCCATTTGATGTGTGTGCTCCACATATTGGTGAGTCCTATATGGTAATACATATTGGAGCCATACATGCGATATATAGATATACATATATAATATATATAGCATTAAATGCAAGTTAACATGAAAAAACAATTCTCGACTTTTATAGGTAACTCTCTTGCATTGCTTAAAGGAATTGTTAATGGCAATTAGCTTAGCTTTATCATGGGCTTATCCGCATATTTTTGCATGTTTATGATATATAGTATATATGTATATACTATATACTATGCAAATATGCCATATGTATTTATGTAGCTGCCAACTTTGTCTCATTTGCTGCACGAACGAAATTTAAGCTGACAGCAAACCTTAATACGAAAAGAGAGAGAGAGAAATTCTGGTCTGGTCTAGTCAGTCTGAATCGGGCCAACTTTTGTGGCGAAATAATGCTAAATTACCTGAATGATATGGTCTGACGGCATGACTGACAATAATCATGCGCTACACCCACCACACATTGCCTGACTTGGGACCATGTCTGGCGTGGCTCATACCAAAATCTGCATTTGGTTTCACTTCTCGGTTTGGGTCGGTGCCAAAAAAAAAAAAAAAGAACAGTTGTTAAACGGTTCTTTGGCCTCAAATAAAGTTTTGATGTGGTTTTGGCCAGACTTGAATAAAGTTTTAATAGAGCTTATAATACGCGAAAGTAAAATAAGTTTAAATTTAGTGTAAATGATCAATAAAACTTTTTATATATAAGATTTTTTAATATTTTAATTTTGAATTTATTATTTCTTATTTTGAAAAACAATTTTTTATATATTTTGTTTTTAATTTTTATTATGTTTTATTGAATTTTTTTATTTATATAATATTTCTATATTTTCAAACTATTTTATGACAATAAAATATCTGTGAATCTAAATTTCTATATACCGAGAAAACGCATCATAAACTTTGTCCTCTAGCTATAATAACTTTATGATACCAACACTAATATTTTGACTATATTTGTCTTTGTATTCTATCTATTGTTCTGCAATTAAAATTTGATGAGCAGAAGCCTAGTTTTTTATTGGTTAGTTAATGGCATGTGGGCTTACATGGGCGCCCGCCCACACATGAAGTACACCCACAGCAGGGCCTGACCTATTAGCTACTCGTATGTAGTTGGCATTAAAGCAACTGTAATAACCCCAAGCATGGCGCTTATAAATCACGGCCCACCTGTATATGCGTGACAGGAACGGATGCAGCCTGAATAGCTGCAGTGTCAAGGACACGGGATGGAGGACAAAGGAACTAAACAATGAAGGAACGAAGGTAATAAAAAGATTGTCGACATATCCTGAACTCATTCCGGACAGGAAATTTGACTATCATACGAGTGCTTCCTTTTCCTTTCCGTTACGATTCTTTGTTTTATTTGGAATACCCTGGCCATTGGGCAGAACATATGGGGCATATTGGGCGGGTAGCGGAAAGAAGACTGCAAATTTTTATTCATAAGAATAACTGTAAGATAGATGAGCTGAAGACATTTTATTGTAAAAAAGTTAAATGAGAATGTATGGAATCTTATTATTATTATTATGAAGATATTTTATTGTAAAAAAAATCTTATTATTATTGTTATAGGTTATCCGCTCTAATGAGAGTTACAAAATTTAATATTTACTAAATACCGAAAATTTAAATTTAAAATTATATAAAATAAGATGCTTTTTAACTAATATAATAAAAATAAAAGAATATATATATATATTCCTAATTTATTAAAAAAATATTCTAAATTTATTAAATTAAATTTTAACTTTTAATAAGTTTTCTATCCATGCAAATATTTATATACATATTAAAGTCACTCTGACTACAGAGTATTGTCTAGTCGCTCATAGCCCATTCAGTCGATCTTGTTTGTTTTCTTATTGCAATTATTTAGCACACACTTCGAATTGCAGTGCCTAACGACACATGACATGACAGATTGCCATAGATAGTTGCTCGCGACGGGAACTGGGCTCTGGGTGATTCTACTTAAATTTATGCATGTAGCAGTTGACTTATTGGTACCAGGAAAACAACAACAACAACAACTACAAGGTTCGATTGGAATTTCATGATCAATGTCAATTGTGATGTAACACGTAGCAGACAGTTAACGGGGGAGAGCGGAGAGTGGAGAGTCGAGAGGCGAGAGGCCAAACTAGGTGTAGAGCACGCAGACAACACTTAAGTTGGCTCAGTCTCACTCTCTCGCACTCGTCGGCTATATTGAAAATTGATTGAATTGAACTTTGATGGCTTTCAGCGAAAGTCGCGTCGAGGTTCAGCGGGGAGTTAAGACATCAAAGCCAAGACATTGTTGTTGCCACAAAACATACGCGACATTGTTGTTTCTGTATCTGTTTCGCTTCCGCGAAGCTGTTGCCCCCATGAGCTCCCACACGGAACTGAATCGACTTCAAGTAACTATTCACACATTCAAGTCTCGATTTACAAATCAAGTTACAGCTAAAATTGAAAAAATAGCTATATATAGTTTGATAGATTAGGTGTAAAAGGGTTTCATATTACCACTTTCAACTTGATGCGAGTCTGGAAAATTCGTAAGAAATTGTTGGCGATAAAAATAATAAAAAAGCGAGAGACAAACTTTTAGCTAATAAGTTTTAAAGAGTTTTCTTCTATAGATGCGAGTTTTTTTAATTTAATTTTTTTCCCTTTATAAATTTGTCTCAATATCAGCCACCCATTAAAAGTTGTCCCCTCTGGGGACTTTTTCATTAAAATGCCGAATATGTTAAGGCTCTGCACATATTTCACTTTTTCTCCCATCCCTCTCGTCCATCTCTCTCCCTCTTCCTTCCGCTTCCTCACTCCTCCCACCATATGCAAGCAGACTGCCGACATGATTCCTAATTGATTTTATTTATGACTCAATTAGCGCTCTTCTCGAGGAAGTGTCAGGCGATATTAGTTTACAGCGAAAGTTCAGCTAGTTGAGCTAATTGAAAGACACAAGTCGAAGCACTACTCCATAGAGCTAACCGTGGGCCTCGACGCCTCGAGCTATGCAGCGTTAATTAATACGAGAGACGTGCATAAATTGTCAAGCACTTGACTTTTATGCGTTTCTCCAATTATCCTTGACTCGACTCGACGCGACTTGACTCGACTTGACTTGACTCGACTCGCTTGCAGCGCATTAAAATTGATAAGTGCAACACGTAGCTGAAAGGCAATAAATGCCATCCGAAATTTGAAACGCAATTATGTATATGAATATTATATACTTTAACTACTTAATTGACACATTGATTGACTGAAGAAAAATAATCAATCAAAGAATCGTAAAAGTTTCATTAACATATAAATTAATCTGTTTTACATGTGGAGTCCACATATGGGCAACAATGAATCCAAATTAAAGGATCTATTGAATCATACTTAAGAAATAATAAATAATAATAAATTCTAATCAGTGGAATGGAGAACTGAATGATAAGCAAAATAACTTAAGAGTTGCTTGATGAAGCTTAAAAATAGTAAGCAAACCATCTGAATGTCTGATGAGTAATAACTGGAGATTTTTAGATACAAATTTATAAAATTACTATACAGAAGCTTTGAGCTACAAAGAGTCGAAGGATCTAAGGTGTATTTCGAGATAATAACAACGATTTATTGACTGACTGATGGTCAACAAACGTCTCAGATTTTTTTGGGTATTTTTAACGACATTATGTATAAAAGAAAAAGAATGAGTACTAATTGGAATGAATTCTAGAATTCACATAGATGGAGTATACAACGTCAACTCATTCTTTCAATTCATTATCCGATCTAGCAGCATATCTGAAACTTATTCAAGAAGATA